GCGCCGGATCGTTCAGAGATGGGCCGATTCTGGGCCACGGGCGGCGTTCAACCTGACACGTCCGAGCCAAGATTGACGCCGGTCAACACGATGCGAATCTACTGCAGACAAAAAATCGCAACAACCAAGTGAGAATCGAATACATCCTCCCCTCCACACTTATCCACTGCTCACGGGGCGATTTCCAAGAGGAGTGCTGATTCAGCAACTTCCATTGCAATCGGGCATCCAGGGCGCTCCGTGTGCTGTTGCCGTCTTGACGTGCGCACGTACACGTTTGCCCTTGCTCGCCGCGCGCAGCATGCGCGACCAGGGGTGGATAAAGAGAGGAGAGAGGGCGGGAGACGGAGCGGCGACGCGGGGGGGACCAGCGAGGGGCAGGAGTGGGAGGAGGCCAAGGATAACAGGGGATACGTCGACTCCTATCACGGGCGTCGTAAGGTTTCGAATGGACCAAATATTTCGGCCCAGCCCTGGGACATACGATGGGAGGGCGTCCATCCTCGATAGAGAGTGCGCCCGAATAGCCCCCGTTGGGGCCCATCCCAAAGTTTACCCGGCCAAACTGTTGTGCGGAACTCGGGGATCGGGGGAGCAAAAATCGCCTGCGAAAAGAGGAGGGGGACGTCGTCGACGAGCTCCAGCCGTTCTCGCAGGGCGCCCCGAACACTTCCGAGTTGTTTCGAGGTCTTCGGCTCCGCCGCCGCCACCGACTTCCGCCGCTCTGCTTGTCGCCAACGAGCTCCAGCCATTCTCGGAGGGCCTCGAACACATCCGAATGGTAAGACGAAGGCTGGATGAGGCTACGCTCGGATGGGGACAGATCGGGGATCTCCGAGAGACAGCGGAACGGAAAGATGTATCGCGCGCCGCGGCCGCTTCAACTCGCTCCAGAGGGCTGCGTTCTGGATCGCTCTGGACCGATGTATCCCTGTCCTAGCCCCGCCCGGTCCGACGAATCCTTTATTTTTAGGGGGGCCCAGTTCACGCTGAGTTCTTTAGTTTACCTGTCGGACGGTGGTGGGCAGAACGCCCAGCAGTCCAAGGTGGCTCGCACCAAATGCCAAGATTATGTTGGGAGCTCCCACCTGCCGCGCGGCGTACCTGGGGCACGCCTCGGCAGCGCTCCATCAACACTTACACTGACAGGAGGGGCAGCAACACGAGTGAGCAGACGAGATCTCGGCTGTCCTCCATCAGACCATGCATCGGCTATTTTCTTATGGCGGCGGGCAGTGACGCGCAAGCGTGCCTAAAAAACCTGCTGGGGGGCACCGCGGCCAGACACCTTCCTGGCACTGTGGGCAGCCAGGAACGCATCGAGGCACACAGCACGTTTCAAGCAGGCAGGCACATAATCACTGTGGAGGAGGAGAGAGGAGAGGAACCAGTTGGGGCTCACAGGTCCTTCAGAGACACATAGCTGATCACCAAGCCACTTATGCATAATCGAACATTATTTCGGACAGTGGGCGTAGTGACGGAGCGAGTCAAGATCCCCATCCTTATCCTCCCCAGTACATCCGAATAAACACCAGCGGGAGCAGAATGAAAACGAGACGAAGTGCAGAACGCACCAGCTAGGACTCCCACAGGGGCAACTCCGATGTACATAGAACTCGCCTTGCACACCTGCTTCACCATACTACACATAAGATCAATCTGCTGGCGGGTAACGGACGCGCTGAAATAACGCGCGCGCCGCGGAAGTGTTTCACGAACGGGTTGAGATTCCTCAAGAGCTCGAATACGTTTGCACAACTTTCTTTGGATCGATTCCGGGTTCCACTGCAGGATGGTCGGTTTGAGGGAGGAGTGCTTGTCCCAAAGCGCCCGCATATGCCCAAGAAACGACGGGGAGTTCCAGCCACGGTGCCACCTATAGGGAATGTGGGCCCTCGCGGGCCCTCTCGAGCTCCTCAAACACATCAGGGAAATCAGGGCATTTCACATAAAGCGAAGGGCAGCGGCTTGCGCGAGAGCGCCGATCTCGACGAACTCGATGCCAAAGCCGATCGACGTCAGCTTCGTGGCAATGTTATAAGAAATTGCATTGCCGGGCCCAGATGTCAACAGCATAACACTTTCCCGTAACTTGTGAACCAGGAGTTGGCCAGGAGGATAAAGTTGGAGTTGAAACAATAACTTGGATACACACGTCACCTGGCAGGCGAGGGCCGACCTCGCAATGCCAAGACCCACCCGCCGAGTTTGGTGCGCGCGCTTCAGGAACCCAGCGAGAACCAATTGCCAGACGTACAGGTGGGCCTCGGGACCGATGGGGGACCCAAGGTAGACAGCCCAAGACAGGATTTTGATTTCATCGAACGGTGCACCAAAACTCGCAAGTCCATCGCGAAGCCGCTGGTGCACAGTACTGCCACAAAAGATCAGTTGACACTTATTGAAATTCAGCTGCAGATTCGCTTTTTAGCAAACGTCACCAGGCAGCGCAATACTGGGCTAAGATCGGTGAGAACATTCTCCAGTCCGAAAAGGAAGTCGTCTGCGTATGCCAGGTTCATATCGATAAAACGCGAGCACCGATGTCGAAGCCATCTAAGGAGAGGGTCGACGGCGAGGACGAATAGGTACATCGATGCAGGACACCCTTGCTTTACTCCCGACCCCAAGGCAATCAGGTCAAACCGACCTCCATTGAGGCAGATGGTACCTTTATTATCCGTTTACACCAACCAAAAAAAGCGTATCACGTACGCCTCGATGCCCATGCGTTGCAATGCAAAGAATAGCCAGCACTGCGCAAGAGACGGGAACGCGGCCGCAAAGTCCGTCAAGAAGAGAGAGGGATGAGGAGTGTCCCGTAGGTGCTGAGCAAGTCCCCAACCTTCGGCCCTGCTAACATTAGAGACCATCGCCCTCCCCTTCACGCACTTTTGCTCACCGCCGACCAGGTGCATAGTGTTCGTGGCAACAGGCGTGATAAAAGCATTCGCGAGGATCTTCACATCCGCATTGCTCACGCTGAGGGGTCGAGTGCAGGATGGAGAGCGTCCCAAGCCAGCAGCGCCGTTATCCTTCGGGCCCGTGCCCTTGGGAAGGACAACCATTAAGCTCGTGCACGTATCTTCTGGTAAATCATGGACGCTATCTGTGAAGAGGAGGAGGTAGCAGGAGTACAGCACGCGGGAGGCCCCAGGATGTTTCCAGACAGAGTAGGGTAGCCCATCAGGACCTGGCATTGAGTTGTGTCTTGCACTCACCATCTGGTACCAATCATGATAGTCAAGCTTCCAGTCGCAATTAAGGGGTCCATCAAGGGTCTGAATGAAGGGCTTCACCTCATCCCAGAGCTCCTGATCCACGGAGGGGGGCCTTGAAGACACCAGACCAGCGATCCCGAAGAAGACGCGCAGCCTCAGGAAGGGTGCTAGACGGGGGCCCAGCGGAGTCCAATACAGAGCCCGGAACAGCCCGACGTCGGAACTTCCTCCAGAGAGCTTGGCGGCGACGCAGGCGAGCAACTCTAGACCGTGTTTGCACCTCCTCAGCGTCGCACTCGGGGGTTTCGATTTCCTCTGCATCGAGGATCTTCTTGTAGGGGCAGAAAACATGCTGGCGCAGGCCGTGTGCGTGCGCGCAGTTGGCATCGTTGTCAAACTGTGCGGCCAGCCGTGGGTAGCGCGCTAGTGCCTGGCGAATGCGACGAACATCATGGGAATAATTAGCACGCAAGGCAGCCATCTCCCAAACGTGCTTCTCCTGAAGTGAGACAGCAGGGCGGGCACGATGAGCTCGGCGCGCAATGTCACAAGCTTCGGAGAGGAACTCCTCAGCAAGACCCAATCGTGACCACTCGTCCCAGGAGGGCGGAATCTGTTCAAGAAGGTCATCTAACGCCTTACCAAATTCAGGCAGCCCAGCAATCCACGGGGGAAGGGGTTGGCTGGAAGTGGGAATGAAACGATCCAGAACAGCACGAACAGGTATATGGTCACTAGGTTGAGCAGGTTGCCGCGACCCAATAGTAGAAACATTAATCGTTCTATCTCTAAGCATGGCCGGGTGGGGGGAAGTATACATCCGATCAATACGAGAGGTGTCAACAGCGAGGCCTTTACGTCCACGACGTGCGTCTTCACCTTGAAACAGCTCGGCAAGGCCAGGGACAAATCGCGCGAAGAGCCGAGAGTGTGCAGTATCTCCTGGGACGAATCCTCCTCCATCCCCACGAAACCTGCCCTCGTCCTCCATCGCGAAATTCCAATCGCCCATGCGCAGAACATGTGCAGGCGGTCCATCACCACCAGGCTGATATTGCAACTAATCTTCCTGAAGCACTTGAAGCACACCGCTGAAGAGGGAGAGGGGGTCGGAGGTATTCGGGGGGTGGGTATTGTAGATGACCATATTACCGTTCGGCCCCAGGAGAATCGTTAAGGACTCGCCCGGCAATGATCGGGAGGTGGTCAATCTGCCAGAACTGTGCTTCTCGCCGCGCCGATAATGCCGTGCCGTAACAGCTCCACCTTTCCTAGTAGAGTCGCCAAAAAATGAGTAGCCGAATGCGTGAGAGCCCAACTCTCGGGCGAGCTCATCTATGTCCCCCTCGCGTCCATGTGTTTCCTGTATTGTGATAATGTCGTTCAGCATGCAATAGTTGATGCACTGTTTGCAACGTGCCGAGGCCCGCCAAGTCTTCGCTTTCACTGAACAGAACGCAGCAGCCGTGTTCCAGATGCAGAGCTTCACCGCGGAGGAGGGCATGAAAGGGGCAGAGGGGGGGCGAATGCGGAGAGGGGGGGGGGGGGGGGGGAAAGCCTGCGCTGGCGCGCTCGCCGCTCCCCGCCTCAGCGCCTAAAGGGGCGCCTCAAGGGAACACTCGCAGCAGCTATGACAGAGGCCGAGTGCTGCTCAATACCAAACTCAAGAAACGCATCTCGGTCGACCTGAGTGTCGATCGAGCCGCCCGCCCCCCCCCCCCCCCCCCCCACACACACACACACACACACACACACCCACGCAGCGATTTTGACGAGGGGGGCGGGGTCGTGGGGAGACCGCAAGACGCAAGCAGAGCCACCTAGGCCCGTGCTTCCAACTTCAAGTCCCTTGGGATTGAAGGGGTCGGTGAGCAGGGCGCGCGCGCGCCCTAGAGACAGGAAAAGCCGCCGCCCATTGAAATCCAAATCTCGCCTCAAGCGAAGGACTAGGGGCTGCTGAGTGCGCAGCGGGTCAGGGTATGTCCACGAACCTCCAGCCGCAGAGAAGGCATCGAGAAAGTGGGTGGCGGCCAGAGGATTCTCGAAAAGAAATGCGATCTTCTTGCTGAGGTCAAACGCGCGCACAATAATCTTGTCCTGACTGAACTGGGGATAAAAGCGGGCCTTGCACGCCCCACCAATCCTGCGAAGGTCCGCCACGAGGAGGGGCCGCGGGAACCCAAGTAATACCAGTTTGCATACATCATGCTGGTGGCGCTCAGCGTCCGTTCTACCCGATGTAGCAGGCCCCCATCAACCGTGGCGAAGTCGGCGGTGGGGTTGGAGTGGACTGGATGTCGGCGATGTGCTTCTCGGAGGTGCGCTGTCGGTCCAAGAGTTCAGCCAATGAGCCCGCGATCGCAGCAAACTTGGCCTGCAGCGCGGGGTCGGTGCCTGTCATGGCCACGTCGCCGCCTCCCTGCTCGAAGATGCCCATCCGATAGTCCAGCGCATTCAATGAGGCGTTGACCGACTCCTGCAACTCCTGGCGGCGCGATTGGTACTCACGGCTCATCATCGTCACCTGGTCGGCGAGCGTGGCACAGCGACCCATGGGTGCGTTGCAGGCATCCTTGATGGTGCCCATGTCCGTCGACTGGTTGGCTACTAGCTGCGACAAGGACCCCATGTTACCGATGAGGATGTCGATCTTCGTGTCAGTCGAACTCGTACTTGGTGTAGACGGCGTCCCGCCAGACCGACTGCGGCTCGGGTGTCGAGCCTTGGCCGGAAAGTGGCGAGGAGACCCAGCCGAGGATGTCGATGCATCACGATCCTGGTCAAGATCGGCCCGACTCTCACGTCGAGATCGACGATCCTCCTCCTCATCGTGATACTTGCGCACTGCCTTGCGGGTCATGACACCGTTGGCTCCTCCAGGAGCTCACTGGAACGAAAGGAATGCTGGAAGGTTGGAAGACTGCTACGGCTCCTCCAGGAGCTCACTGGAAAGGAAGGGAAGACTGGCGCTTTGCCCCTGTGTCGCGGGCCGAGCTACACGCCAGTCGTGGGGCTCTCTGCAGCAACTCGATAAATGTTTTACTGGAGCCAAAATGGCTACGGACCCGCCCGATCCGACGATATGACTTCTCCAACTGGCGCTCTTTCCTCGGTTTCGGCCTCCTGCTGCCGATTCCAGACCCCTGCAAAAATAGATCTGGGGCAAATCCAGCCACAGTGGAATCAGCTGCGACATCAGGGGCCGCGGATTGAAAAAAACACGTCTGCGACTGTCAGGAGTTAGCCCCCTCCACCCCCGCAGGAGAGGGAGAGCGCGAGGAAGGGAGGGCCTGTGAAGCAGGAGGGGGCTTGGGGAAGGGGGATGGCAGGAGGGCGAGGGCATGTGAAGTAGGAGGACGAGCAGGCGAGGAGGAGGAGGAGGAGGAGGAGGAGGAGGAGGAGAAGGGGGAGGGGGAGGAGAAGGGGGGGGGGGGGGGAGGGAGGAGGAGGAGGAAGGAGGAGGAGGAGGAGGAGGAGGAGGAGGAGGAGACGAAGACGAGGAGGACGAGAGCGAGGGCGAATGAGGAGGGCCTGTGAAGCGGGAGGGGGGAGGGGGAGGTCAGGAGGGCGAGGGTCCGAGGGTGGAGGCTGAAATGGGGGGGGACGGACAGGAGGGAGGAGGGGGGGGGGGGGCTGAAGGGCGAATGGAGGAGGAGGAACGAGGAGGAGGAGGAGGAGGAGGCGGAGGAGGAGGAGGAGGAGGAGGAGGAGAGGAGGAGGAATGGGAGGAGGAGGAGGATGAGGAGGAGGAGGAGGAGGAGGAGGAGGAGGAGCAGGAGTAGGAGGAGAGGAATGGGGAGAGGCGGCAGAAGGTGGGAGGAGGCCCACGGTGGGAGGGGAGGATGCGCAGAACGGGGGGCGGGGGGGGAAAAAAAGAAACATCCGCGAGAGCGCGGGTCCTGCCACATGGCTAGCCGAACCCCCCCGCCCAGAAGACGAGGTCCGCGAAGCACCTCTTGCTCACCACAACCGCGACGAAGGTGGCAAGGTGTGCGCTGCGATGCGCACCGAAGTCCAGCACGAGCACGACGTACCAGACACTCACGACAGACTGATTCATGCGAACGTGCGAGGCAGCAACGGAGGAGGTGCACGGCGGGAGGGGAGGCAGCGCAGTGAGGGCGGCAGAAGGGGAGAGGAGGACGAGGCCCCCCGTTGCCTCCTTGCCTTGACTCCCGCCCCTCTCGGCGGCCTGGCGGCCCTTGAGGGGCGACGCGGCGTAGGCGGGCGGAGGAAGCTGCGCCCGGCTGCGGGGCGGCGACATCTGCATCGGCACCTCTCCGGCAGCACCCCGCGGCGGATGCCGTCGAATGTCGGCCGTCGTCGGTCGGCCCTCGTCCGTCGTCCCTCTTCGTCGGCCGTCGACCGTCGATCGTGGTCGCCGACGTGGTCCGTCGTCGTCATCGGAGGTGCGCGGTCGTCGCCCCTCGTCGTCGTCGTCGTGGGCAGGGGGGGAAGGGGACGAGGTGGCGGAACAGGGGAAGGAACGACGAAAAGGGAGGGTGAGGGAGAGGGGTAGGGAGAAGGAAGGGGGCGATGGAGGAGGGAGGACGGAGAGGGAGTCATTGGAGGAAATGGTATGGAGGATTGGTTTGAAGTGAAAGATCGGCGTGGAGGAGGAAGGAGGGAAAGAGCAGGACGAGGGGGGAGAGAAGCGCAGGCGAGGTTGAATTGGAACCGCCTTTCCCGAATCTGGGGGGAACCCCTTGGAGATTTGCCCAACAGCGAGGTCCACGAGAGTCCCATGCAGGGCCCTCCTCGGGCACGCCGAGAACGGGGGCCAAGAAAGAAGGTTGCGTGTGGCGCGCCCCGGCATCATCTCCGGCACCGCCTGATCCCAGGGCTTCGCCCTCTCCCGGCCGCGTGCGGCCCCGCCTTCTTCCGTCCGTTCTCTGCTAATCAAAGCTGTGCGCGTCCCGCTTAGCTTTCGGCGGAAGAGGTTTGCTCTCACCTCGCAGATCAAAAAAGTGGCGCGCCCCGGCCCGACCGGGGCCTCTGCGCGGACGAGGTCTCCCCAGGGCCTGCTCCTCACCCCAGGGCCCGCTCCTCACCCCAGGGCCTGCTCCTCACCCCAGGCGCTCTGGCGGTCTCCCCAGGGCCTGCTCCTCACCCCCAGGGTCAGGTCGGGCATGCCCCCCCCTACTGGCGGACTTCGGACGGCAAACTAACAAAGAGCCAAGACATGCAAAAAACATAGCCAAGAAATAATGGAAAGATCGTCCCCAGACTCTCTTCTTGCTATTTTTGAATATTCCTCCTGTAGAGGGACATGCCCGGCCTCCTCCTCCTCCTCCTCCTCCTCCTCCTCCTCCTCCTCCTCCTCCCCCTCCTCCTTCCTCGTCGTCGTCGACGTCGCCGCCGCCGCCGCCGGCGGGGAGCGGGCGCCCGGGGCCCCTGGGCGAGCATCGCCGCCCCGGGCCCCGCAGGCCCGCGGCTGCCCTGTCGCGAGGGCGCCGCGCAGGGCGAGGGCGCCGCGCGGGCTCGCCGCCGCCGGCGCCCGCGCGGGCTCGCCCTCGGCGGCCCGGCCTCGCGCGCATCCTCCTCCTCCTCCTCCTCCTCCTCCTCCTCCTCCTCCTCCTCCTCCTCCTCCTCCCCCTCCTCCCCCTCCTCCCTCTGGCAAGCGATAGGGGGGCAAGCATGACTCCGGCGACGAGCTTTGCCGCGAGGGCTCGAGGGCGGCCGCCGCGCGTCGCCAACAACGCGCCGCCGCTCGGCGCCGTCACCGCCGCCGTCGTGGCAACACAGCCGCCGGCGCTGCACGGCACACTGGGCACAAGGGCGCGGCCTTGCGCGGGCAGATGACGCGCCAATGTCGGCGAGGGCGAGCCCGTTTTCTGCGTCGCTCATATGACATATGGCCGTCCCTGAGGTCCGGGCGGTTCTAGGTTCAAACTTTTGGGGCGTTGCCGCCGTACCTCGGAGGCTTGCCAGCAACGGGATGCCCTCCAGCGCCAAGAGCGTTCCAGGGGTGCCTGGATCCTCCTAAACGTCCGCCGAAGGACCCAGTAACGACCCGAAAGCACTGAACTACGAGCGCTGCAATCTGTTCAAGTTAGGCGTTTCCGCAAAGTTTCGGGCCTCTGTGCCATCACAAATCGAGCCAGCTCAGAAATGGCCGCAGAAAGATGGGCCCTCAGACCACCGACGTGATGATTTTTGCTCATGACGTCGATCCTTAGGAGGTCTGGACCCAGTCTTGGCGGCGCACAGAGGGGGGTAGGGGGAGGGGGGAAGGCTTCTTAGAAGCACCCCTGCTTCTTAGAAGGCGCAGGTCTTCTGCAAAAGTAGAGCCCGCGGTTTCTGAGGAGCAGCCTCCTGAGAAGCCTTCCCCCCTCCCCCTGCCCCCCTTCTGCGCGCCGCAAACACTCCCTGGGACAGGCGTTCCATCCAGAGTCGCTTCTTGACGGCTCCGAGGTCCGGTGGGAGCCCCCAGAGCCCAAAACCAGGAACAAAAAGCCTCCCGCCGTGATCTCTTCACGACGCCAGGGGGTCTGGGCCTGGGACCCTTGCCGTGAGGCTTTACGAGGCAGCAATGAAGGGGCCCCAGGACACACAAATAAATACACACACATAAAAATATCCCCTATATTTTCTCATATTTTCTGGGTTTCTGTCTTCCCCCCACTCCCCATATTTTCCCATATTTTCTGGGGAATCGAGGATTAATTGTGTCTGTGTGTTTCTTTTCCTCCTGAACGAGACCCTCCGCTGGCCAAACCGAAGTGCAGTCGAGGGTGCCCTCCCCCAGGATGCACCAGAGCATCCAACAGGCACGAAGCGAAAGAAACGCCCTGGAATCCAGGTGCTCTCCACCTTCGGTGGCAACTCATGGGAGCCTCCCACACCGTCTTGTCGGCTCGTGCGAATCGACGCTAAATCGACGCTAACCGAGGCTAACACGACGCTAATCGACGCTGATGGACGCTAAATCGACGCTAATCGACGCTACCGCATCGACTCCCAGACCAATCGACGCTAGTCGAAGCCAATCGACGCTGGACACAGAATTACCAGCGTATAGGAGGCTCCTGTGACTTGCTACCGAACTCCACCCGTGTGCTTCTTGGAAGGCGCTTGCGCATGTCTCGGGGGCGGCAAAGAAGGCGTCCAAGAGGGGGGGGTGCAAATCATGGCCTGCGGCATGTGCGCGACCCAGCGGGGGGGCCTGGGACGTAATGAAACAAGAAGAGGTGCTGTGAAATCTGGGGAGATATCATGGCCCACGCCATGATATCCACCCCCCCCCCTAGTCATCACCCCCCTTCTTACCGCCCCCGAGCGCTTGTGCATGTCTCGCGATATAACGGCCGTTACCGGGGATGCTCCCCGGAGGCGACTTCCCGCCATGCCCAAAAGGCCGCCCGTCCTCCCTGCGGCGCCCGGCAGTGCGGGCACCCGTGAGAAGCCCACGCTCGCCATCGCTCGGCCGTCCATTTCCCGTGCCCTCGTCGGCTTCGTGCGTGTGTTATTATTGCTCGAAGATCCAGGGTGCTCCTCGACGGCTCTCGCCGAGAACAGACATGCACACGTCCGAGCGGTGCGAAGCTCGAGAGCACGAGGCCCTCCGCCTGCCGAGCTGAAGAACCTTCGAGAGCACCCTTCCCAAGGATGGGCAGAAACGTCCAGCAAACACGAAGAACATCGGGGCACCCTCCCCGAGCCGACCTCGATCTTACGCCTCGGTCCGGCCGTACCCATACCGCCAGTCCCCGGGCCGCTCCCGGGCTGCGTTCTGACCAGGACCTCGAGGCGAAGCCAGCGGGAGATCGGTCTACCTTGCCCTCGGGGCCCCCTCCCCGACGACCCTTAAGCAGGGACCGACCGTCCCAGCAATCCGATAGGCCTGCCACGAAATCTTCTTAGAGCCCAAGAATGCTCTCATTGCAGAAACAATGTTCTCAGAACATAAACCCGATGTGTCAAAACAGCACAGCTTCGGCCAGAAGTGCTCTGAGAACATGTCGTGCAGACCACAAGAGGCTCTTTGAACATTCTTTCATGGGCCTATATGAAGATCGTTTAACCGATCCCCATCCCCCCAGCGGCGTGGCCTGGGCCCCACTGGCCGATTTACCCCCTAGGTGGGGATATAGGCCGTTTCCTTCGGGTCTCGAGGGGCGTATCCCCAACTGGGGGGGCAATTTGCTGGGGGCCTCGAAGGGGATGGGGCTGGGGATGGGGACTGGTTTCACGACGCGGACTACAGGCAAGCCAGGACGCCTCGCCACAGCTCGACTGACGACCCCGCAGCAAGGCCGCCGCTGGCCTGCCCCGCGCGCCGCGCGGGTCGCCCCGGTGGCGGGCGCCCGCAGCGGCGGCCGGCGCAGAGCCGGGGCGGCTGCCGCGGCGTCCAGGGCGCGGGGGGGGGGCGCGCCCCGGCCTGTTCCTGCTGGTGCCTGGGCCTGCCTCCGTCCCGGGCTCCTCCTCCTCCAACCTCCTGCTCCTGCTCCTGCTCCTGCCCCCCCTGCTCCTCCTCCTCCTGCTCCTCCTCCTCCTCTTCCTACTCCTCCACCTTTTTGGAAGTACCCTCTCGCCTCCCTCCACTCTCCTCTCTCCTCCTCGTTATCATGATCCTCCTCCTCCTCCTCTCGTACTTCTCCCTTTCCACAGTGCATCTTGTCATCGCTCGGACGTCCGTTCCCCTTGCACTGCTCAGTTTCGTGCGTGATCCTCTTTCGCAAGGTGATCAAGGGTGCTCCTCGATGGTCCTCGCCGCGAACAAAAGAGATGCACACGTCCGAGCGATGCCAAAGCAGGCGGTGCTGCGCGCTGCCTCGCCCGTGCGCCCTCCCCCCCAGCCTCGCCCCACGCCTCCTCCTGCAGGCGCGGCGCTCCGAGCAAACGACCCCCCGCCTCCGCGACAGCTCCGCACCCCGCGCGCCCGCGGGCGCGCACACACGCCAGCGCACCACTTCTACCAAGAGGAAGGGGGGGGGGGAGGCGAGGGGATGATCGGGTCGGGCGAAAGGGGGGGATAGCGCGCCCGCGGGCGCGCACACACGCCAGCGCACCACTTCTACCAAGAGGAAGGGGGGGGGGGAGGCGAGGGGATGATCGGGTCGGGCGAAAGGGGGGGATAGCAAAGGGGGGGGTTGAGAATCAGCTCACGTAGCTGATTTTCCCGGCGCCTCCCGGCGCCGGAGGCGGCTATGTATCGAGGAATGGGCCCCTCGGTGAGGCCGAAACCAGCTACATGCAGCAAATTTCGTACCCCCCCCTTTCCCAATCCCCCCCTTTCGCCTGGCCCGAGATGACCATACTGTCGGACCTGAGGCA